GGTAGTAGTAGAATCAGCAATGTTAGCACTAGCTGAAGTAGCATCAGTGTCAGCAGTTGCAGTAATGTTAGCAGTACCAATAGCTCTAACAGGGTTGATGGACTCTGACAATATCTAATGTCGTCAACACCGTAATTGTCTTGCCCTCCAAAATAAGACGACCGGCACTTTTCCAAAACTCATTTCCAGAAAAATAATATTGTCTTGTAGTCAGGTCAGTACATTGCTAACTATGTTAATTTTGCGTTGACTACAGGTGCAAAATTAGCCTTTGTGCTAATTGTGTAGTTGTAAATGTACCGTGAAAAACTAAGTATTTGCTCTTCTCCAATGACACTGATACTTTCTGCCTCCCAGAGAAGAGTTTCTTCCTGGTACTTTTTAAGGTTCAAGGGGATGTGCTATTTTTGGAGCTGATCCCAGCTCGACCTGCTGCTGTGAGCAGACACTGACCAGAACATCCACACTGAACACCAAGGTCAGAATTTCTCTGATATCTTGCTCTTGACTGAAGAGCTGGACAGATGCATGTCACCGTCTTCAGACAAAACATTCCACATATTCAGCACTAAACGAGCAGCGTTAACTGTTTGATGACAAGACTGCTGAAGGAAACTGATCTGAGTTCAGGAGAAGAGACGAGAGGCAAGAGTGGGAGTAACGAGGCTGTAGTCGGAGCCAATGAAACATCAGTGTGTGTGTGTGTGTGTGTGTGTGTGTGTGTGTGTGTGTATGTGTGCGTGCGTGCGTGTGTGTGTGTGTGTGTATGAGAGTATGTGTGTACCTCTAACTTTTTGTCAGGGCTTCCTGGTAGAGTGCTTGCTAAGCAGTGGTTGCTAGGCAACACCATCCGGTCCAGCCAATGAGCTAAGTTTTGGCATCAGTGTCTCTTGGCAACAGCGCTGGGTTCGAGGGGATTCGTTTCCGTTTGCTGAAGCTTTTTGCTCGTTATCTTCACATTAACACACAGCTCCAGCTGGAGTTTATCGCTTTCATTCTCTGCTCTTACACTTTAACACAGAGCGGTCAGTGTCAGCTTAACGGCTACATTTAAATTATTAAAATCCATTATCACAAAAACGGAAAACACTTGACTATAAGTTATGTTTCTGCGTCAAGAATTTAAGTCAAACTGTCACCAAACTCTGCAGCTAAAAGTTTATATTTTTTGTTTCTTAAATGAGGGAAAATCATTAAGGATGTCATTTTGTCTCATAAAAGCTCTTTTCTTTTTAACTATGCAGATTTAAAGTGACTTGATGTGGTTTAAAAAGGGAGGCGTTCAACTGCAGTTACCAAACAGATGAAGTATTGATAAAATAGCAGAACGCAGTTTAACAGGTAGCTGCTTAACATGCTAACATACAGTCTGCTTCAGAATGTCAGCAAATTCATTGGACTGAAATGTTTAAACATGAAAAATCCACTGTTTAAATGTTAAAAATGTGTTAGCCTAACATTGAAAGATCACGCTCATAAAGAACAGAGTAGGCCTGCTAACAGAATTAGCATTGTTACTAGCATTAATACCAGCAGCAGTAGCAATAGTGTTAACAGTCGTGGAACAGTTAGCATTTTGTAGCAATAATGTGAGCAGTAGTCAAAGTGTTAGCAGTCATGCTAGCAGTAGTTGTAGTAGCTTTAGTGTCAGCAAGTGGTGATAATAGTGTTACCATTAGTAGTAGAAGCAGTAGTAATAACAGGAGTGTTAGCAGTCATAGTTAACGTTAGCAGTAGAGTTGGTGGTAGCACCAGTGTTAGCATTAGTAGCAGTAGCAGGAGTTTTGGCAGCATTGTTACAAGTTATTGTTGTAGTAATAGCACTACTGTTAGTAGTAGTGCAAGCTATAGTTGTATTAGCAGTAGTAGTATTAGCAATGTTAGCACTGGCTGTAGTAGCTTTTTTGTTAGCAGAGGCAGAAGTGGTGATAATAGTGTTATCATAAGTAGGAGTAACAGTAGTAATTGCAGTAGTGTTAATATTTGCAGTTTCACTAGTTGTGCTAGTTGCTAGTTGAGAGAGTGTCAGTAGTCGCACAAGTGTTTCCAGCAGTAGACCCTGGTCTTAGCACTCATAGTGTTAGTGTTAGCATCTGTAGAGCTTGTAATAGCAGCCGTAGTAGGAGCAATAACAGAAGTGTTAGCAGGAGTGCTATAGCAATAGTGTCAACAGGAGTCTAGCAGTCATAGTGTTAGCAGTAACCAGACCCGTCGCCAGACCTCAGTCTTAAGGGGGGCATATGAAATGCATGGGAGGGCACAATTATTATTAACCAGTCGCGGTTGCACTTGACCTGCTGATAGCCTCCGCTCCGTGGCCGCTGCAGGTCCTGCCAGGCCCAGGGTCGGGCTCCACGGAGCTACTAGCAACGGGCTCAGACTGTCGTCCAGGGTCTCCTTCTCCAACGACATCAGGAGGCGTCGGTGTCGTATCCGATTTGGCAGAGGAGACTGTTGGTGGGCTTTTCAACCACTTACGAATATCCATGATAAACTAGAAATGTAATAGTAAGCCGGTGAAAACTCATCCAGCTTCACTTTCAAAAATGCGCGGTTACTGTTGAGCGGCTAAATTGACGTAGGCTACGTCACGTACATAGCGTAACTTTCTTTTCAGTAAGGCCGTGATTGGCTGTTGCAGTGTACATTCCAATCAATCAAACAAAATCACACCATTGTATCTTTATATTCTTAATGTTTTAATGATAAAGAATACAACATTAGTATTTCTCTACACAAAATTAGCTACTATGATAATATAAAATAAGAATTAAAGTAATTTTTTTTAAGAGATCTGTGCCTCAAGTGGGGGGGCACAAGCATTTTTGGGGGCAGGCCAGGCCCCCTATGGCCCGCCCATAGTGACGGGTGTGGCAGTAACACTAGCTCTAGCAGTAGCAGTATCAGTAATAGTTGAGAGTTGGTGGTAGCACCAGTGCTAGCATTAGTAGCAGTAGCAGGAGTTTTGGCAGTATTGTTATACGTTGTTGTAGTAGTAATAGCAGTACTGTTAGCAGTAGTGTAAGCAGTAGTTGTGGTAGTATTAGCAGTTGTAGCAGCAGTGGCTATAGTGTTAGCATTTAGCAGTGTTAGCATCTTAGTTGTTTGTGTCTCTTCTAAACGCCAGAGGTTTTCAACAGTGTGTGTTCATGTCTTTTAGCTTTCTGGTCACTGTGAGGACATTCTGTTTGATGGTTCAGACCTGGTTCAGTTAGAATCAGGTTTAGATTAGGGTGAGGGTGAGGGTTGGAGTAAGACATGTAGTTGTGATGGTTAAGGTTCGGGGGAGGGGCTAGGGAGTGTATTATGTCAAAGAGTGTCCTCACTGCTACAGAAAGACCAACTTGTGTGTGTGAGTATTAGAAAGCAGCTGCCTATGAATATGAATGCGATCGTATCAAATCATCATCTGCTTCCATTTCCATTTGACTGTTTGACCCACTGACCTTTAACACACACACACACACACACACACACACACACACACACACACACACACACCAGTTAGTTATTAATAAACATGAATAATAACCATTGAAAACTGACAAGAGACCACCTGAAACACACACACACACACACCTCAGCCGATCATACTTGCTGCTGTGGATTGTCTCCTGTTGTTTCCGTGGTTACAGAGACACTTGCTATCTCCGTAGCAACAGACAGCAGGCCATAAAGCAGTGGAAACTAGAAATAAAAAGTAATGACCGAACAGAAGCTGTGTGTTTCATCTCAGATACAGAGTACTACTGCAGTAGTACTGCAGTACTACTGCAACCGCTCCTCTATAGTACTGTGAGGTTCTCTGTAGTACTGACGAGTACTGAAGAAGGTCGTGTTAAGGTCTACTAGATGAGTGTTATCAGCTGATCTCATTAACACACACACACACACACAGAGGATTTATGTCTCCAGTGGAGGGAGGGGGGTGTTTGCGCTTGCACTCTTGTCTTTGCTTTGTTCTTAGGGACCAGCGTACTTCACTAATGATTTGATTATTCACTATTATTTATTTACTGACTGTATGAGGCGTCTCTTCCCTGTGTTCCTCTCACAGCTCCTCCTGTCTGATGTCACTGGTCACATTTATTCACACGTCATATCAAAACACTCAAACTGATCAGATCAATAAGTTCATATAACAAGTCCTCAAATATTAACGTCATAAAAACAAAGCCAATTCAAACCTGAACACACACACACACATGAAAACGCTGCATCAAATAAACTAGTCAGTGATAGTTGTCAGTACATCCAATGGTGCATAAAAAACAGAACTTAAAATAGATAATTCAATAGTAGGTAGTTTAAATAGTTAGTTCAGTATACTTCATTTTCTAAAATGTAAACAAACATGGGCAAAAGAAAGCCTCACTGTATCCATGGCAACATATTACCTGTTTGTATCTGTTGTATGTGATTCGGAGCAGATTTGCTGAGGGAGGAAGTTTGTACACATCCATGGTTCATACAGACGATACTCTCTGAACCTTTGGTGAGCTGCTGGGAGGTCACAGCCTCCCTTTGGACACCGGTGGGCAACGCATCACATTTCAGAAGCAGACTGCGTGTTTATTTAAATATTAAACAGTAAGGTAACTAGTTACTGCAGCTACGTGAATCAATGCACTTAGTCTGATGAAGCACAAAAACTTAGTGGTTCAGGTTAAAACAAAGTGACTGGAAGAAACAGGTGCTACCTCCACCTGTGCAGGTGTGATTCAGGTGACCACTAGAGGTCGCTGCTCCAAATTATAATGCCGATGCCAGTTTTGTTTTTCCTAAACAGTTGGAACTATAAAGGTTTTTTTGATTACAATGTGTATTTTATTACAGACCAAATGACAACGGATTTTTTAATATCTTTAAAGAACACGTTCAACATTGTTATGCAGAATGCAGTTTAATTAAGGTCACCTGGTAAACTAACTGACACTATCTAAGATTGATGAACAGCATCTAAAAGGAGATGAGAAATAAAATAATAACTTTCTATGAAAAACTAAAAACTAAATGTTCAGTTTATGAAATCTGACTCATATGTCACTTGCATAATTAGAAACCAGCGTAAGTACAGGTGGTTTTTACTGTCTCAACAAATAACCACTAAAAACCCATCAGCTGCCTGAGCCTCAGTCCCAGCTTCATAAAGATGATATTAAAAAGCGTTTGCCAGGTGAGTCACAGCAGACAGAGACTCTTCAGCTGAGAGAGGAGAAGTCAGACCTCCACTCTCACTCAACAGCAGCATTCAGGTCTCAGTCCAGAGTTTCATACCATTGGCTGTGTTCAGCACTAAAAAGAATAAATTCACTCTTTTCTGAAAATAGACTGTAATTACAGTTTGTTCCCTGATGACGATCACAGTCCACAGGTTCTCCTCGTTCCCTCCATCACTGACTGTAAAACACTGGACGCACATGTGGTTTCTATTACTCGTCACACCTGCTGTGATCGACAGATAAACAAAGTCTCCCTGCAGTGATGCTGCTGATGGAGAACAAAGAGTTATAGTGTTATCTGTCCTGGGCTGTCTGGGGAATCGAACCTGCATCATCATGAAGGTGTGATGTCTCCAGACTGAGCTCCAGACTCCAGAGAAACCCAAACCTTCTCCGTCTCTTGACTTCCTCTCAGTGAGGCTCCCACCTGCATCGTACTGGTTTTGGCTCCAGTGACATTAAAGCCAGCTTTACTGTGTTACTTTACTGTGTTACTTTACTTTACTGTACTGTGTTACTTTACTGTGTTACTTTAATTTACTGTTACTTTACTGTACTTAACTGTTACTTTACTGTGTTACTTTACTGTGTTACTTTACTTTACTGTACTGTGTTACTTTACTGTGTTACTTTAATTTACTGTTACTTTACTGTACTTAACTGTTACTTTACTGTGTTACTTTACTGTGTTACTTTACTTTACTGTACTGTGTTACTTTACTGTGTTACTTTAATTTACTGTGTTACTTTACTGTACTTAACTGTGTTACTTTACTGTGTTACTTTAATTTACTGTGTTACTTTAATGCACTCTGTTGTGTTTCATCACTTCCTGTTTGTGTTGCAATGCTGCTGTCAGAATGGCACAGGTGTAATTAACATCATTAGCAATGGTTCAGTCTAAGTTAATTGTTTAGGCATGACCCTGAACCTAACTCACTTAAATGGAGTGCAATCTATTAACGTTATCAATTATAGTGAATAATTAGTGTGATGATGTCTAAATAATCTGACTGTGAATCCAGACAGATTCACTCCGACACTAACACATGTTGTATCCTGCTGTCACATTCACCATCAGCTGTCCCTGATTCATGTTAATTCATCAATTAGTCTGTTGTCGGTTTGTGTGTCTGAACGTGACCAAAGATCGTTTGTGTGGGAAGAAGCTCCACTCTGTACAGTCAGGGTGGACTGAGTGTTTCTGTGGTTCAGCAACTCAATCAGAGTGAGACGTCTTCTCTAATGAACCATCAGCTGATCTCAGGTCAGTTTCAGATCAATAAATTAAACTGATCATATATGGATTTGAATCGGGACCTTCAGTATTCTGATCAAGTGTTTCAGACGTCATGTCTACAGAAACATGTTCTGAACATCTTCGGCACAAACGTTTCCTTCACCTGTTCTCAAGTGCAGCTGCATCGTGTCAGAGATCCAGAACTGAAGGACTCGGATCAGGTCCAGATCAGGCGTCACATGTTGTTAATGAATAGAAGAGAAGTTAACGATCTTTCAGTTGGTTCCTTGTTTCTAAGGAAAGTTTTCCCTCCTAAACAGAACCCGACTTCACCTGATCAAACCTGCGCGCTCTCCTTTTTCATCTGAAATGAGAAGCTGTGAAGTGGATGCTGCTGGATAGATGCATCTGTCACTGGTTTATAACAACATGTGCATAGATGTGTGTACTGTTGCCATGACGACACCTGCCTACTGTACGCACACACAGCAGTGCTACAGCTTGTGTTTTTATCTGATCCCGGCCTCTCACATAGTTAACAATGCACATACACATGAGCACACGCACCTACAGTAATGTGATGTATTCATATATGCGTGCACACACACCAGTGTCATATGATAATGACATCCAGATCCTCTTCTGTTTCTGCAGCAGCTGCAGCTGAAGTTACTTTCATGACGTTTCCATCATGAGGCTCATTCACTACTGCATGTGTTCTGTGTCCTGCAGCTCTGACCCATGTGAAGCTGTGGGCCATCGACCGTCAGTGTTTCCAGACCATCATGATGAGAACCGGGCTCATCAAACACGCCGAGTACATGGACTTCCTCAAGAGGTGACTGCAACCGCCTGCCGCTGCAGAACAAGCATCCAAAAGAAACTAGAGCCATCTCTTCATGGTCGTATCCCTCCGCCACTCAGACTAGTTCCAGGTCACATCCTGTGTATCCAGAGTCAGAGAAAATATTAACCATGTGTGTGAAATTTTGTCATAATTGCTGTGAGGTCACACTGACCTTTGACACCCAAAATTTAATCAGTTCGTCTTTGAGTCCAAGTGAAGGTTTGTACCAAACTTAAAGAAGTTCAGTCAAGGTGTGACTGAGACATCACGTCCACGAGAACAAGACGGACGGACGCCCTGAAAACAAAATGGCCACTCTGACTCACTCTGACACTCACACACACTCTGACTGTCGTCTGAATTGAGCCTCAGTGATAAAATATGAACGTGTTTCTGAACTAGAGACGATGACAAAAATAAAGAGTCAGTATCTCATACACTGTTCATGACGTATGACTGTCTCTCTCTCTGTCTCTCTGTCTGTCTCTCTCTCTCTCTGTCTGTCTCTCTCTGTCTCTCTCTCTCTCTCTCTCTCTCTCTCTCTCCAGTGTTCCCACCTTCCAGGGTCTTCCAGAGGAAACTCTCAGTAAACTGGCCGATGTCATGGAAGAGGTGAGACCGTCACCTACAACACGTCTCCATGGTGATTTCCCCACATGTTCAGCAGGGTTGACACCCCCCCCACACTTTATAGATCCCTCCACACACATATCAATGATTTTACTGCTGCTCCAGAATATTTCCATCACAACACACACACATCTGTACAGAACATCACAGTCCCCTTGTTCCTGGTCAACCTTGTTGAAAATACTGCAACATGATTGGTTCCAAGCTAGTTGTGATGTCATAAATCATCTGTGTATTGAACTGGGGTTAAAGGTGAAGCTCAGATAAACTTTAACTGTCTCAGTTCAGGAGCCTCCTCCTCCTCCTCCTCCTCCTCCTCCTCCTCCTTTGTTCACTTGTTACTCTAATGCCCCCATCAGTCCTGGAGGACTAACATCTCCAGTACTGACGTCATCTATCCACTTGGTGCCAAACTATCGGTTCTCATGACGCCTGAACTCACCACATCTTCCTCTGTGGTGGAGTCAGTTTCTTCTTCTGTGGTCTTTGACTCTAACCTCTCTGTGTTTAGACTCACTATGAAGACGGAGAGTTCATCATCAGACAGGGAGCCAGAGGCGACACCTTCTTCATCATCAGCAAGGGAAAGGTGACGGTCGAACTCTCTCTCCCACTGATTGATGCTTATTGTATTGATCTGTGGACTCGCCCTGATCACCTGCTGATAAACGTTAATCGCACCTTCTTGACAGGTGAACGTGACCCAGGAGGACTCAGCCAATCAGGAGCCGGTACACCTCAGAGAGCTCGCCAGGGGAGACTGGTTTGGAGAGAGAGCGCTGCAGGGGTAAGATCATATGACCTCTGACCCCAAGACTCACACACACTCACACTCACTCACACACACACACACACTCTCACTCACACACACACACACACTCTCACTCACACACACACACACACTCTCACTCACACACACACACACACTCTCACTCACACACACACACACACTCTCACTCACACACACACACACACTCTCACTCACACACACACACACACTCTCACTCACACACACACACACACTCTCACTCACACACACACACACACTCTCACTCACACACACACACACACTCTCACTCACACACACACACACACTCTCACTCACACACACACACACACTCTCACTCACACACACACACACACTCTCACTCACACACACACACACACTCTCACTCACACACACACACACACTCTCACTCACACACACACACACACTCTCACTCACACACACACACACACTCTCACTCACACACACACACACACTCTCACTCACACACACACACACACTCTCACTCACACACACACACACACTCTCACTCACACACACACACACACTCTCACTCACACACACACACACACTCTCACTCACACACACACACACACTCTCACTCACACACACACACACACTCTCACTCACACACACACACACACTCTCACTCACACACACACACACACTCTCACTCACACACACACACACACTCTCACTCACACACACACACACACTCTCACTCACACACACACACACACTCTCACTCACACACACACACACACTCTCACTCACACACACACACACACTCTCACTCACACACACACACACACTCTCACTCACACACACACACACACTCTCACTCACACACACACACACACTCTCACTCACACACACACACACACTCTCACTCACACACACACACACACTCTCACTCACACACACACACACACTCTCACTCACACACACACACACACTCTCACTCACACACACACACACACTCTCACTCACACACACACACACACTCTCACTCACACACACACACACACTCTCACTCACACACACACACACACTCTCACTCACACACACACACACACTCTCACTCACACACACACACACACTCTCACTCACACACACACACACACTCTCACTCACACACACACACACACTCTCACTCACACACACACACACACTCTCACTCACACACACACACACACTCTCACTCACACACACACACACACTCTCACTCACACACACACACACACTCTCACTCACACACACACACACACTCTCACTCACACACACACACACACTCTCACTCACACACACACACACACTCTCACTCACACACACACACACACTCTCACTCACACACACACACACACTCTCACTCACACACACACACACACTCTCACTCACACACACACACACACTCTCACTCACACACACACACACACTCTCACTCACACACACACACACACTCTCACTCACACACACACACACACTCTCACTCACACACACACACACACTCTCACTCACACACACACACACACTCTCACTCACACACACACACACACTCTCACTCACACACACACACACACTCTCACTCACACACACACACACACTCTCACTCACACACACACACACACTCTCACTCACACACACACACACACTCTCACTCACACACACACACACACTCTCACTCACACACACACACACACTCTCACTCACACACACACACACACTCTCACTCACACACACACACACACTCTCACTCACACACACACACACACTCTCACTCACACACACACACACACTCTCACTCACACACACACACACACTCTCACTCACACACACACACACACTCTCACTCACACACACACACACACTCTCACTCACACACACACACACACTCTCACTCACACACACACACACACTCTCACTCACACACACACACACACTCTCACTCACACACACACACACACTCTCACTCACACACACACACACACTCTCACTCACACACACACACACACTCTCACTCACACACACACACACACTCTCACTCACACACACACACACACTCTCACTCACACACACACACACACTCTCACTCACACACACACACACACTCTCACTCACACACACACACACACTCTCACTCACACACACACACACACTCTCACTCACACACACACACACACTCTCACTCACACACACACACACACTCTCACTCACACACACACACACACTCTCACTCACACACACACACACACTCTCACTCACACACACACACACACTCTCACTCACACACACACACACACTCTCACTCACACACACACACACTCACTCCCACACTCACGCTCACTCACACTCACTCACACACTCACTCACACACACTCACGCTCACACGCTCACATACACCTCACTCACACTCACACACACTCACGCTCACACGCTCACACACTCACACACACACTCACACACACACACACACACACTCACACACTCACATACACTCACTTTCTTCTCTGTCTGCTAATGATTTATGAATGAATAAATACCTGAATGTATTTACTAAAACCCTGTGATGGTACAATGTGAACCTTCACCACACTCTCCAAACATCACACACAAACAGCCCGAGGAGACGTTATTCTTCTTCTCTGGGAGATAAACATATGCAGTCACAGGAGTGTCATTAAAATAGATAGATCTGTAAAAGAATAAGAAAATAAATGTGGAAATATAAACAGAAATAAACAAGTTCATTTAAAAAAGACTACTCAGCCTAAACAGGAAAGCCTGCCCAAAGCCAGTTGATTGACAGCTTGGTGCTTCAAGGAAAAGCAAAAGCAAAAGATGAAAATGAAGATAAAATTTTAGATAATTTTCTTATTCTTTTATAAATTTATTCTATCTTTTTGCCACTTCTATGACTCCGTAATAATCATGCTCCATGTTCTGGAACTACAGTTCCCATGAAGCAGATAAACTGGCCCTGGTAAAAGTTTAACCAAACAAGCTTTTATCCTGTTTGCAGAGAGCATTATTGATCTATGATTTCTGATCGTATTTATTGATTCATTTATTCATGTTATGATATAAAAATGATGATATCCTCATGAATTCTAACACAAAATATAAAAATGAGTAGTAAACGCCACTGCAGGAAAAACTCAGCTTTGATCAGACACGTGCACACGCTAAAAAAATGGAAGATGATGGACGCTAAAAGACTGGAAGCATCAAGCTGACGTGTGTTAGGATAACCCCCCCCCCCACACACACACACACACACACACACACACACATACACACACCCCACCCCCTTATAGATCAATACAGTCCCCACAAGTCGAGACAAACCAACATGTGAGGGCTCTCTTCTGTTTGTTTGTTTCTTTAATCACAGATGTTTGTCTCTTACACTGCTGGTTTACTAACCACCCGCCATCATCACAGCTGCTGCTAATTGGTTTGAAGTGTGTTTTTTCCTCAGGGGAGCGCTATTTACACATCGACTGTGTGTGTGTGTGTGTGTGTTTCTGTGCTAAATAAGGACATTTTTGCAAAGTAAAGACATTTTTAGAAAGTGAAAATATGTGTGTGTTGTGTCCACAGGGAGGACGTCAGAACAGCCAACGTCATAGCTGCTGAGACCGTCACCTGCCTGGTCATTGACCGAGAGTGAGAAATAATGTTGTAATAATGTATACTGCAGCTGTGTGAGACAGACTTCACTGTTTCTTCAGCACATGGACAGATCATGAGACAATGAGCAGACATGTAACATGTAACAGTCTTTTTGGCATTTTGAGTTTATTTGTAGTTGTTTGTGTCTCTTTGTTGTCGTTTTGAGGTTGTGTTTGCATGATTGTCACAAAGAACCAGGACGGGACTGGAGTACATGTCCGTCACTCCAGACTTACTGGTTCTCAGATGAAACATCACTGTCCACTTGATTTTAAACTCAATTCACCTCCATCTCGATTCAGTGCCGAAAGAAAGTTAAACTTTCAGCTGTTCTCCTGCAGAGTGAAGCTGTCTGCTGCCCTCTGCTGGTCCTCACAATGAACTGCACACATGTCACTCACTGAGTCATGTATGTACAGTATATCATACTGTATATAATACATGTAGCAGAGTGTATCAGACCCTCAGTTGAATGAGCTCTTCAGACATCTTGGAAAAAGATAAAGTCTTAAATCTTCATCAGATTTTTTCTTCACTTATTTTTCAATTTGAAACATGATGTTTGTTGATGTTGGTAGAAATGAGTAAAGTGCTTTAATTAATCTGACCACCAGGAGACTCAGCATTATTATGTTTTTGATATTTAATTTGAAGTCAGGAAGTCGGGACTTAAGTTTTTTATTTTGTATAAATTTGTGATTAATTATGAATAAAAGGGAAACACAATGTCATTCAATTTAGTAGATATAATTATAATTTATAATTTTTACATATATATACATGTATACATGATATATAATAATGTATATTATATTATTATAACATATTTAGAATTATTATATAAATGATATATACTATTGTCATAACACCACCACACTATTATATTATTCTGCACTATTTTGTATTAGATTTTATTTATATTATATTTTATGTCATATGAGCATATTTTTATCATGAGATTTATTTGTTTTTCTTACATTAACAGGATATCATTTTGTATATATATCACATAAAAACCTCAGAAAACTACACACACAAACACACACATCATAGAGACCATACACCTCCTAATCCTTTCATTTACATGTCTGTCCATTATCTGTCCCCTTTGTGTCACACTTGTTTTTGTTCTAAAGTCACAAATGAAAGAGAGAGAGAGAGGAACACATTATATGATTTTATTGTGTGTTGGAGTTCTTCTGTTTTTCTTCAGCATCATTTCAGCGTTTGTTAAAACCTGTTGTTTCTGTTTCCTCCTCCTCAGCTCATTCAAGCATCTGATCGGTGGATTGGACGACGTCTCAAATAAAGGTTATGAGGACGCTGAAGCCAAAGCCAAGTAGGTCTAACACACACACACACACACACACACACACACACACACACACTGATTCACTCTTTACTCCAACATATAAAAAAAACTTCTGCCTCTTTTGTGGATTTAATGGAAAGCATCAAATAAACATGTAACTGTACATATTGCAGCTGTTTTTCTGTTTTTTTATCAAAGAGCTTCTGAAAAAAAAACTTAAATTTCATGACTTTATAACTGACGCATCAGGCATTTTTTTTGGCGGCATCACCACAGTAAAGGAACAGAACTCGATAAAGACTATTATAAATCAGTTACTTGAATCACAGAAAATTAATTGCCAACTATTTTCAATGGCTTAATCACAAATTAATGATTAATTAATCACAAACATTCTGTCGTTCCAGCTGCTGCAGTGAGAAGATTTCATGATTTTCTTTGTGATATTTCACAATAAACTGAAAATCTTTGTTTACATCAAATAAAACTCTAGTGTGTGTGTGTGTGTGCGTGTGTGCGTGTGTGCAATCGTGTGTGTGTGTGTAACTGGAGCCTCAGTGCTGCTTATGTAAGGACAGCTAATAACAGCAGCTGCAGTCAGAGAGTGTCACAACCATGTCACACTGAAGGACACAGTGTTTAAAGGTGGAGAGTCACCAATCATTGGAATTCATCAGAAGTAGAAGAGAAATGTTCAGACTAGAACCAACGGCGTGTTCAAAGACCACACCTTCATGACTGTTTGGGCTTGTTGTCCTGAGTGAATCTGGACCAATCAGACGCCTCCTGATGATGATGATGATGATGATGATGGAGAAGAAGAATCTGAATATCTAAAGTGAAATCTTTCTTGCTGTGTTATGGATGTGATGGTAAATATATAATAACAATAATAATAATACAGTTTAACATGTAGCAGGAGTGACTTCAGACACATGCACATCTATTTTCTGACACACACACACACAAACACACACACACACACACACACACACTCTCTCTCTCTCGATCAAGGTGTAACACTAGCTGTTGTGTCGTGTATCAGATGACTGTCAGTCATGTGACAGAGTGAAGCTGAGCACTGTCAGTCACCTCCTCTTATGGTATAGATTCAACACAGCACACACACACACACACACACACACACACAGGTGTCAGTCTGGGATGTTGGCATGGTAACGGTAAACAGAGACCAGCGTGGAGTCTGTTTATGAACTGAACTCTATGTTTACAGTCAAAAATTAGAGAAAATTTAAATTCAAGAAAAAAGTTACAAAGCCGCAACATTGAGAAAAGTTTCAATAATTTTATTTATAGAAAATCGAATCATGTAAAATTTATTTCCCATCATGTTCATGTTATAAGTTAAATATGGTGTTTTGTAGGATTGAGCGCTTTGCTCAGGGACCTTCAGTGGTGTGAAGGTCAGGGGATTTGAACGCTGAACTGAGCTCTAACAGTTAATCTCCTGCTTATTATCACAAACTATTTTGAGAGTGTTGATGTGTTGGTTTGTCCGACAGCAGCTACTGTTTCTGCAGAAATCTGACTCCACTGCGCCGGTTTCCAGGAAAAAGTCCGGTCCCTGTTTAGAGAATCACACACACACAGACCTGTCACTGTGGTCACACACCATCATCATCCACAGAGAAGCAGACAGCTTTTAATTTTAACACTTGTATTTCTGAAAACAACAAACAAACAACAAACTTAATAAATACAAAGTTAAACGCTAAACCTGGAAGTGCATGAATGAAAACAGGAAATGGTATTTATTATTTCAAAGTTAATTTCAATCTCATAAACATTTTTGAAACAGATCACAGGCTGAGAACAGCTGTAAACACAAAATCTGACATGTGATTATCTGATGAAGGAGTTGTGTCCCTGTGATCAGCAACATGGTCGTCATTGACTCGTGGGGTTCCTCAGGACTCTAGTCTGGGTCCTTTATACTTTCACATTCCAGACACAGCAAAAATGATTCTGATAGGCTTTTTCTTTTTTCTGACGCCTCTATAGTTACATTTAGGAAACCTGAATGAAGCTGAATTACTTCATTTGAGCCACTGGGGGGGGGGGGGGGGGGGGCAACATCTCATTGTGGGGTTCCTCAGGATTTTAATCTTGGTCCTTTTTACTTGTTACATGTTGATCTGTTGCACGGCAGTGTGTTTGTTTTTGTCTTTAAACTATAAAACCTTCAAGGTTCTTCGACCTAAACAACAAAACAAGAAACACAAAAAACAAGTTACTGTGATAAAAACACTTAACTTTGTTTGATCCCAGATGCCCAACTGTATTCAGTTCATTACACCTCCGATCTGCAGAGGGACATTTCATCTGAAGACTATAAAACAAATGAGTTAAATCATGAAACTCAGACGGCAACAGATGGTGAACAGTTCAGATGAACTAGGGAAACATCCTGATAAATCCTGCCCCCCCTCTGAAGTTGAAATCTTGGTGTCCTCCGATTTTGAGGTCAGGACAGTTTGTCCTGCAGCCTCCTGTCTGTCTTCCAGTCAGTTTAATGACTGAGCTGCGTTTACTGGGTGAACCTCTGAGCAATGTTTCCATGTGCTAAAAATACCAGCAGCAGTGTCATGCCATGCGGGTCGTCTTCTCAGGTTGACATTACACCCTGCACGACTCAGCTGGACCAGACGTGGACGGTGTTTTGACCCAACAGGACAAAGTTTTCAGAGGTTTTCCTTGGTCATAGTTTCAGTTTGAGCGCACTCATTTGGACTTTATCAAGGTCAGATGCACAGAGAGTTGTCGTCTAGATACTGAGTTGAGTGTGCAGTGTCCTTCAACATTGTTGAAGGAAGCTGCGATTGTCTTTATTCGTGATGGTGCTGGACTCAGAGGTCATCTGTTCTGGATTCTGACGGCGTCCTGCTCGGTTCAGGACCAGCCACCTTTGTAACTTTGATGCACAAAGAGCTGGAGGAACTGGCAGCCTCACCGTGCCGCCGGTCCCACCAGACCAAAACCCTATGCTGTCATCACCGCCATCATCCCCTCCCTCACCATGTAAACTGGAAGTGGAGCTCTTCTTTTGAGACGGCTCTCTTACGGACGCTGTGCCGAACGTTTTCATGAGGACGAAGGTTCAATGTCGATATGTTTGTTTGCACTCTTTAACTTTTTGACCAAGAGATACTTTGCCAGAATTTGAAGGGCGTGGACGACGAGACTCGACCCTCAATACCACCTTAAGAATTACAGTTTATTTGAGGAAGTGAAGCTCGACTGTTTGTGGCGAGAAGATTACATTCCTGAAGCGGTTTTAACGATCAGAACATTCTTCAGTTGGTGATAAACTGGACTAAAGACAGACTCAGTCCAGAACCAGCAGATTAAGTCAAGTTTGGAGATGAGGGAGTTGCTTCCTGTCCCAGCGAGGCAGCAGAGAGAGCGGCTCACCAGCCTCCCTGCTCCTCCCACCCCCTCCTTCTCCTTCCCCATCACCTCCTTCTCCATCCAAACCTCCAAGAAGTTCCCGTTCTTCCATGTGATCAAATGCTGCAGGTAGGACTGGGTGTTTATTCAGGATGGTTGGATGGGTTTTAGGTTGAGATGGCAAACCTGTAGCTGCTCCGGCGCTGCATCGAAATGTTCCTGCGTGGTGGTCCATCTTTCAAACTGTCCTAAGAGCGTAATGCTGTATTTTCCTGTGTTCAGTGAAGGCACCCCTGTGTTTGTGTGTTGTCAGGTACGAGGCAGAGAATGCCTTCTTCTCCGGTCTGAAGTTGAACGACTTCAACATCATTGACACGCTGGGAGTCGGCGGCTTCGGACGCGTCGAGCTGGTATGAGCTGTTATCTGGTATCAATGATTTGCAACAAATCAGAAGCAGATTGTCTGATTTTTATCTTAATGTGGCGACATAGGATGATGTCAACTCTCAGACTTTGACAGGAAAGGCTGGATCATTTCCAGACCAGTTTTAGATCAGTTCCAGATCCAGACCAGTTGGAGAGTTTGATTTGAGGCCTGACTTAGACCAGGTCCAGATAGATTAGTTGTAGACTAGTTTCAGATTAGTACAAGACAGATTCTTCACGTTATGTTACCTGAGCTCCGACATGTCAGAGAGGTCAGTCTGTGTGTGTGTGTGTGTGTGTGTGTGTGTGTGTGTGTGTGTGTGTGTGTGTGTCAGCTATTTGCAGTAACTTTCCAGTAAAGTCTAAGAACTGGTAACTGTAAACCAGTCATCATGTGAGTCTGGTCAGGCTGGACTCCAAACCTCAGACTGACCAGGGCCAGTTTCAGTGCCGCAGGAGGCGGGGTTTGGAGGAGGCGGGGTTTATGGGCGGTGGGGAAGCCCTGCGGAGGGTCTGCCCAAAAACAGGAAGGAATCCCCGCTCAGGGTTTCCCATCAGCCACTGTAGGTATTTTCAGAGTGTAACTCTGCTCCGAGGAAAAAACCGACCTCTGACCTCCAGACGGTCCGACCCCTCACACTCTGATCACATGATCTCTACCACATCATGACTCCTCCTCTGGGTTAACTCCACAGCTGGAGGCTCAGTTCAAGTTGATCAGGACCTTTGCACCAGAGAGGCCTGGACCTTGTTGAGTCCACTATTATTTCGCAGCAAAACCGGACTCGCGTGTTCGTTTGATGAAGTATGCAGGAAACAGATTTAAAGTTCAACACGTCTAATTTATTAAAAGTATAGCCAAGCATAGAAGTTTGAGGTTGCTTACAGAGCTCTGGACTCACACTGCTCTCCTCTCTCCTGTCTAAACAGAGTGCAGTACCTCCTTGTTTCAGTCATTCATTCTTATACACATTGTCTGTGTAACAGGGTCACTCCGCCTCTTCTCTCTTCACACCACTCTGACCTGAACCTGTTATCTAAACATGTCATACTTGTACTTTCTTGTCTGTCCCTGTGCATCATTCTGCAATCTCAAACGGCATTCAGTGTCACAATGTTCATAAACAACCATAATCATCAGTTCAAGGCGGATTTGCCTTTTTAATCAAACAGTGCATACAGGTGCAAACATAACATATCCCTTCGACCTCCAGACCTGGACCTAACCCCAGAGAAACCAGCAGCAGCTTCCTGTGTGATGATGATGACGATGATGATGATGATGATGATGATGATGATGACACCTGGTTAAATACGTTCTCCTGTAACGTTCGAGGAGCGTTGGCATTTTCAAACTTTCCAGTAGTGAGCTGTTTTTTCCTTTTCCTCATCTTCACTACATGTCATTCAACTACATGTCTAACACACACACACACACACACACACACACACACACACACACACACACACACACACACACACACACACACACACACTGACCTCTCTGAGATGTCAGAGCTCAGATAACATAACGTGAAGAATCTGTCCAGAAATAGAAGATTGTGTCATGTCCTATTAACGCCACAGTGTGTGTGTGCATGTGTGTGCGCGCGTGCGTGCGAGGTGTTTACAACAGCACAGTTGGTTCGTTGTGGATTTCTGACGTCTCATTAATAAACAGCTGCTTCCAGTGTTCCCACAGCTCCCAGTAACATGGGGAATACATTCCTGGATTCCCTTTTCAAAAATGTATAAATGAACTATCAAACCATCAAAGTAGTATTTATTGATGATTAATCATTTATAAATTCGATTATGTCGATTAAAATATGAAATTAAGGAAGTGCTTTATTACGTTTTCTGTGACATCACTGATCCTCCGTACATCATTTCCTGCTGTGGGAGATTTCTTATAAATGAACTTTACTCCTGTGACTTTAAATAATCACCGTATGTGAAAATATAAAGTGTTGTCCCGCTCCATGTGTGTTAATGGCATCAAACAGAAGCAGTGTGGTTGTCATGGAGATGTGGTCTGGGTTATGATGATGATTGTTCTTCTTCAGGTGCAGCTGAAGAGCGAGGAGGCAAAGACATTCGCCATGAAGATCCTGAAGAAACGTCACATCGTGGACACGAGGCAGCAGGAACACATCCGCTCCGAGAAACACATCATGACGGAGGCGCACTCTGACTTCATCGTCAGGTCAGTATCATCATCATCATCATCATCATCATCATCATCATCATCATCATCATCATCATGAGTTGTTTTATATTAAACTTGATAGAAATCACACCTCACAGTCTCCATCATGTGACTGAGTTTTTACATTTTAAAATGAATAAATATTTGATAAAGCCAGACCAGAAGCTGCAGTGCTTCCTGTCTTCCAGCTTTACAAATTAAAATTCTTTTGAAATGTACAGAAGCTGAGAAAGGCCATACTGACAAATAATTTTTTATCCCCTTATTTATTTAATAATTATCCCGTCAACTCAAGAAAACAAAGCTTATCTTTAGATAACAGGATGAAAAATATTTTCGTGTATGGCCTTTCTCTGGCTCTCTGGCTTTCAAAATAAAAGCATCACAGATGAATCTGTGGGGGGGGGGTTCCGTGCAGCACTTTGGTCACTAATTAAACATTCTTTGCAGTTTGGTTCCAGTTTTCAAAATAAAAGAAACAGGTTTGTTCTTCTGATCTGTTAACTGTTAGATCTTGGCTTTCAAAATAAAAACGTCACAGATATATTAAACATACGGGAACAGGAAACCATCAAAGAAGAAAACCAGGCATCAAAATAAAATCTGAAAACAGACGTGAATCTTCTCAGGTGTCGGTGGGTGTTTCGCCCTCATGTTCTGATGAAAGGTTGTTTGTGTTCAGGTTGTACCGGACGTTTAAAGACAGTAAATATCTGTACATGCTGATGGAGGCCTGCCTGGGCGGAGAGCTGTGGACCATCCTGAGAGACAGGTACACACCTACTCACATCATCTTTTACTTTAATAATACATCGTGAATATCAGCTGATAGCTTGAAGCCACAGGTAGAAAAACCTTTCAGAGCTTTATTAATGGAAGTTTATTTTGAAGTGCTGAAACAGCAAGTGTATTTATTGATCAGTTAAAAATTAATGGACAAAAGATTTATCAATAACAAATTTAATAATAATTTAAGAACAGTCATTTTTCAAGCAAAATTTTTCAAAACTAAACAAATTTTCTCTGATGTCATTTTCAAAACTGAATCAAAACCTGGAATTTTTTTTACTAATATTTGACATTTTAGAAAAACTAGGTGAATGATAGATCAATACAGATTATAATCAGATGATTAAACAAGCCAGAAAAATGTTACAGTTGCAGCCAAGTCGTTTTGTAGAAAACCAACAAATGAAAAATAACTAAGATGGAGGAAGTCAACAGAAACTTTCATTCAAGTCAAAGAGTCGCACTGAGGGGCAGGAAGTCCTCCCACACCTTAAACTGTCTGTGTTTCAGGGGTTCGTTTGAAGATTCCACCACCAGGTTCTACACCGCCTGCGTGGTCGAAGCCTTCGCCTACCTGCACGCCAAAGGCATCATATACAGAGACCTGAAGCCTGAGAACCTCATATTGGACAGTCGAGGATACGCCAAGCTGGTACACATACACACACACACACACACGCACACACACACACACACACATATTGCTTTACAATCAAACAACACATGGACATCTACCTTTAGACTGTATGGAGCTTTAATTACATTCAGACGGTTTTTCATTGATCTGATTGGAAGAAGCCTGTGTTGATATTTCTTGAGTACAGATGTGGAGACTCTGTCATAATAACAACATTAGTGAAGAAAACCCTGACAGATGTTTATCAGGAACAGGCCTGTACATCAGAAATGTTCAGCAGCTTGTCAGGAGGAAACTTTCCTTCCAGTTTCTCTCAAACATTCGAGACGGATTAAGTTTCAGTTCAGGTTTGTTTCCAGGTGGACTTTGGTTTCGCCAAGAAAATCGGTTTCTGTAAGAAGACGTGGACGTTCTGTGGGACGCCGGAGTACGTCGCTCCAGAGATCATCCTCAACAAAGGTCATGACGTCTCAGCAGACTACTGGTCTCTGGGCATCCTGATGTATGAGCTGTTGACCGGCAGGTGAGGTCACGCACCTGTAGAGCTCAGCAGAGTCAAACTGGTACTGTCGGGTCCTACAGTGTCTCTTTGTGTCTCTTTGTGTCTCCAGTCCTCCGTTCTCAGGTCCTGATCCAATGAAAACCTACAACATCATTCTGAGAGGCATCGACATGATCGAGTTCCCAAAGAAGATCACCAAGAACGCCGGCAACCTCATCAAGAAGCTCTGCAGGTAGGGGGCGTTGCGTGTCTGAGCTCAGAGTAACTGTAGACTCAGCATTTGTTGTTTTAATCTCCAGAAAAAAATCTGTTTGTGTTGACAGAGATAATCCTTCAGAGAGACTTGGAAACCTGAAGAACGGGGTCAAAGACATCCAGAAGCACAAGTGAGTGGACACAGAGCCATCCACATACTTTTGGCCATACAGTGTAGTCACTAACTTCCAGCTGAATGTGAGATAAAACTAAACTTCCTCTCCATGTTTGTTCAGGTGGTTTGAAGGTTTTAACTGGGAGGGTCTCAGGAAAGGAACTTTGACTCCGCCCATCGTACCTGATGTGAGTAGAAGCAAAAAAAACAAACGCTTCTGACAAATGAACAGTTCACATTGAGTCTGTTGTGCACTCTCCACCTTTATGTTGTGATTTCTACATATTGTGATTGTAAATATTGTTATTTTCTGGTAAATTCAGAAACTGACTGATTATCAAAAAGGAAATACTTGAACAAAGACCATGGTTACAGTCACACCCCCAAAAAAGGTTTCAATGGTAATCACTCAATAAATCAGCTTACTTCAGGCGCCCTGGTGATATAAAGATCAATGGCGCAAACATCTGTTGCACATCTTTACCACCTTTCTCCCGCTTCATCTCCTGTCATCTCTCCACTATCAGACCGCTGACAAAGTCACAAAATGCCTCTGAAGATACTTCATTATATTGATGCAAAACTTATATTTTCCTAACCCAGGCCTGACATTTGATTCCTAACATTTTCAGCAAACCATTCAAGGGTAAATACTGTGGTATGCAAGGGCCAGATGGCAAGAGAAACTTTCTTTGTTCAGTCTGTAGATGTTGAAGGAGTTTGACTGTGTGTCCATCTGTCCAGGTTTCCTCTCCAACTGACACCAGCAACTTCGACAGTTTTCCTGAAGACACAGACGAACCGCCACCAGATGACAACACTGGATGGGACTATGACTTTTAAAGTCCCACCCACCAGCTCACACTCAAACACAAAGCCTGAGACAAAGACGAAGAAGAAGAAGACTTCTCCCCAGGCTGAATGAACACAAGCTACATGTGCCATATGGTGGATGTTATGAAGCATGGCTGGGCCCAGTGGGAATCAAAACCCTGATAAAAAAGAAAAGGACGGGAGGCCTCTGGTGTGACCTTCCGAAACACCTGAGAGATGGATGTTGAAGTGGTTCAAGAATCAAACTAATCACCTGTTCATGTGGACAGTTTGTCCCTGTTTCCAAGACCAGGGACACATTTTTTAACAAGCCTCTTAAAGCAGAAAACAGGAAATAGTTGCTCTTGCCAGGTCTAAAGGGAAAGTCATCCTAGTTCCTCCAGATTTTAGAGAGCTGTCAAAACTCCAGAACAGTGTTGCTCCATCCACAAAAATGTACCAACAATCCAGAAAAGACGTCTTTGCAAAGCTTGGATTGTTTCCTTGAACGCAGAACAACCAGGATTCCTTGTTTGGCTGTGGCTGAACTTTGGGTATGTTCATCCATCAGCAGTAAAAGACACAGTGTGGGTCTCACTTTATGTCCCATATATTGCTGCAAAAGTCTCTATCTTTTTTTGCCAAAAGATACAAGCAGGTTCTTAACTTTGACGAACTGGGAAAGTTGTCTCAGATCCTTCAGATTTTAGAAAGCAGGTAAAAACTCAAATCCACAGAAATAAGCCAACAGTGCATCACAAGATGTTTTTGCAAAGACTGGGAATGACTCAGAAATATGAACCCAGAACAACACAGATTCCTTGATTCACTGCATTTGAACTCACACATTATAGGCCTTGCTTAATGTCCCATACAATGCTGCAACACTCAGAGGAAGCTGGGATGTTCATCAGTTCATCAGTTAGCCAGAAATATGAAACTTAAATCCATCAGTGAAGCTACCTGAGGCTGAAGCTGGAACGTCCTGAGATGTCCAGTGAAATCACGTTGTCACAAAGTGCTTCCCAGAGCAATGAGGAAGGCCCCAGACCCTCATGGGCCCCAAAGAACTCAGAGATCCCAGATTGTCTTTAATGCACCATTAAAGGCCCTGTCTTATTGAACGGACCTGTATCAAGATCTATTTTAAATAACACCTTTAATATTTCTGTTGATATTGTGCTAACATGGTACATATCATTCAACACATTTGTGTTTAATCCAACTGATTATTAATCTGACATTTATGGGTTAAAATCATTTCTACCACAGGGCCCTCTAGTGGGTTAAACCATCCCTGGTAACAGAGGTCCTAACATGGTTGAAATGAGTGAGAACAAACTCCTGAGGACATCACAGACACTGCAGAAAGCCTCTGCTCCTGTCAAGTGTCCTTGATCACTGGCTGACACTTGACCTTTGACCCTTCTAAGGGAGATGGTTTTACGACTACTTGTCCTGTGAAAGGACTTTTTTGTTTTGTTTTTTTGTGGTATCGAGGAGGTCTAGATTTTGAAAGTTAGAGGCTTTTTGGACCCTCCGAGGCCAGGGTCTGGCTCTCCGGTACCGGGCTGGAGGATGTTCGAGTCCCCCTGTTTCTCTGGGCGGAGGAGGAACACCGAGCTGAAGACTGAACAGACGAGTTAAAGGTCACTGTGATGCCTTCGCCTCTCATTTCATTTTCGGTAACGTAAAATCCAAAGACAGAACGAGAAGTTTATGTGCAGCAGCTTATTGCCCCCTAGTGGACGATGGGGGAGGTGATATGAACATTTCTACTTTTTTTTTTTTTTTTTAAGTATATTTTTTGGGGCTTTTTATGCCTTTATGATACCACAGTAGAGAGAGACAGGAAATGGGGAGGCAGAGAGAGGGGGAATGACATGCAGTAAAGGGCCGTCCGATGCAGGATTAAAACCGGGGCCGCCTGCAGGGAGGACTGTAGCCTCTACATATGGGGCGCCTGCTCAACCCACTGCGCCACTCGACGCCCCAATTTCTACTTTTAAACTTTACTTTCTATCATTCTTTGTGTTGTGAATCTTTGGATCGCAGCATGAGAACAGGTATTTTGTACATATTTCCTAGACTTCCTACATATCTTTGCACACAGCCACAAATGCTCCATTCTCACATACACGTTTGAAGACCGAGCAGGTTTCAGGATTGTTCAGATGTTCCAAAAATGGATCTGACGCGTTTTGTTTCAAGAGTATTCATATAGTGTCTGTCAGGCTCATGGTTTACTGGCTTTTAAACGACTTGGTTCCAGACCTCGGACTCAGTTCCTGCATCTGATTGGTTTAGTGATTCAAACAGGTCATTGAGGGCAGTTGACACACCACAGGGACAGATATACTCAAAGATGGACATGTCCTCGTGGACCCTCACAGATATGGGCAGATTACAGCTGAAAATAACAATTATTTTTCATATGAATAAGTCATTTTGTCCATAAAATGTCAGAATATAATGACAAATGGCTCTTATAATTCCCAACAGCCTAATATGTCTTTAAATGTCACCCTGTCGTCAGACCAACAGTGTGAAACCCAAAACTGTTCAGTTTCACCGATTATTGATTGGATTTGGTATATGTCAAAACACTTCCTGGTTAATTGTTTTTAAGTACAACTCAGTCTGACATTGACGTAAAGAAATGACGACTCTTAGACTGACACATTTCTTCAACCACATGACTCTTAACACCTTGTGTCTGACAGTGACATCACCAGGAGGGATACATCAGTCACTGCTGATTGGTCAGTTAAATAGCCGCCCTCCCAAACAGCTAACATGTGCCATATGTTACAGTGAATGATGAAGATGAATGAAATACTTGACATGGCGACACTGGATGAGTTCTGACACACAGGTTAACCATAAGGAAGTTGGTTGCTGCTTGAGAGACTTGAGAGAAAACCTTCATTACTCTTTCAATTCACTTGTGTACGGAAACTTTGACAAAGTGGACGTTTAGGTTTAGAAACTTTAAGTTGAAGTAGACGTGATGACTCTGGTTTGGGTTGCATCCACAAACAGAGAGTTCAGTCTTTAAACAGTGATTCATCTATTTATTTCAGTTTGTATTTGAACTGTATTTTGTGGCCTTTTGTAGAAGCAGCTGATAGTCGTCTCACTTTGGTACGAAGCCTTTGTATTAGCAGTCTGATTTTGCTGTGATATTCTTGTAAAAATGATCAGCGATGTGACTTCTGTGAGCTCTGCATGAAAATCTTGGTCACAACTCAGTTTTCACCACCAGGGGGCAGAATAGAGCAGCGCTGGGCCTCAGGACGGACATGTCATCATGAGGGGAAATATCCTCAATCTCTGTCTCTCTGAGATGTTTAGAGGAGCATCGGACGGTGTGTTAAATACAGAGCTGGAGTCAGAACATAGTTAGCCTAGCTTAGCATAAAGACTGGACAGCTTGGCTTTGTCCAACAATACCAACAATACCAACACCTCTAAAACGGACTGATTATTCAGATGTTGTATCTCATTGGTTTTAATGCACAAACAGAAACGTAAAGGAAATACAGTTCGTCATGATCACACAAAACTACCAAGGAAATATTTCTTGGTGGGAACACTACAAGACAAAAACACAGACGTGAAGCTGATTAACTTCAGTCTGGTTGAGTTTAAAGCTCTCACAGTGAAAATCAGCTAAAAGATGATTTAGACAAAAAAGTATTTGGACCAGAAGGAGAAATATTAATGTTCATATTGATTCTTAGTGATGATATTTTGTGCTTATGATTTACTGATTTATTTGTATATATTGGGAGTATAGTGTTTTATGATGTTTCAGCTATAGATTATTATCATCATTATTATTATTATTATTATTATTATTACTACAGTGCCTGGTGTGGTAGCTGAAGAAACTCTTGCTCTGTCTCAGTTCAAAAAGCTTTATGGACGTGACTGTTAATAACAAAACAAAACAAAAATAATTTTGCCAAAGCAGATTGATCTGTTCAAAATGAATAAAAGCTGTAAAAATAAAAGTTTTTGTTCCTTATTTCTTATAATTTGAAGTTCATCATGTGTATGTCATAGTTCATAGTCAAAAGACAAGGGTATTGGTTTTGAAGTTATTAAATGTTTCCATGAAAAAGTGAGAACGCTCCACAATTGTGCGTGTCATCCTTGCATACAGGGGCCATGCTAATCTTCTCTGTATTGTTCCCAGTTTATCATGTGTGTTACAGGCTGTAACACATCAGCCACTGGACCTGGTCTCTCATTTGAAGGGGGTCAGGAAACATGGAGTCTGACTCAGGGGTTCAGCTTGGAGGGAAACTTTTAACAGACCCTGATGCCAGAGGATGGGAAACTACATAAGCACCTGATAAAAGATGAATGAAAATAAATGAAATCAAAACAAAAAACAGACATAGAAAAAAATGAAAAAGAGAAGAAATGAACTATTATAGTTTGTTTTAGAAGAAATGACCAAGAAATTATTCCATGTAGTTTAAGACATAATTGATGAAAAGAAAAGAGTTTCCTTATGTTAAATCTGTGCTTTTATCCTCTCCCACAGTCTCTTTCAGTGCCTTTAACCTGCCTCTATAATATTCACTTTCAGCTCAAACATCACACAAACGTTGCAGCAGGAAGTGGAACCTGCTTTCATTTCAAAATAACTGGTAGTTCTGCAAACGGCCACCAGGTGTCAGTGTGGACCGGCTCTGTGCAGGTGAAGCTGCCGCCGCTGCTGAACACAGTAAGTCTTTTTTAACTGACCTGATTATTTTTGATTAATTGTGTTAATATTGCTTGCGTACGTTTTCTGAATCATTCTCAAAGGAAGCAGCTCTCATTTACATAAAGATGTTTTCACATCAAATTTGTCACAACATTGAAAATGCAACAATTTGTTTTGTTCATCGTCAAACTGTTCTACACTGACAACAGAATTAATTAACTTTTCTTAAATCTGGAGGTTGTACTGAGAAATTCAGCATAAGTACAAGGCACAAAGAGATTTGACCAGACCGTATTTTACATTTAAATACCTTTAAACTTCGTCTACAGAACTAAAACTGTACAGTGGCCAAAAAACGGCCATAACTTCAATTTCACCGAAACATCGTGTAACTTGTCACTCCGCCTACAATGGAAGAGGCTACGCAAACTGTTGGAGAGTTATTTATAGGCCGAATTAATCCAGAGACAAATCTGACTCGGAAAATATCTAAAAGCCGTTTTACACACGTATTTATTAGGTGCCCGTTAACAAGTTATCTTAAATTCACATGATCTCTAAACGGAGCCTGGCGAGCCGTTCCCCAACCCGCCGTCAAAAACAGCTCAGCTTTAACATGTCGTCAGTGCAGTGAACAGTTTATTACGGAGAAAAATACACCTTAAAGATTTTAAATATGATTGAAAATAAGAGATTTCAGCCCCAAAACAACCCGCCCATGATATAGGGACTTTAATAGAGCGTGTTTTACCTTTTAAATATCTAACAATTTAATGATTCTTTGCTTCCTCAACATGACTCATTACCTTTTCCTGAATCCGGAGGTTGTACTGAGAAATTCAGCATAAGTACAGTGCACAATAAACGGCCGTAAATTAAATTACACCGAAACATTGTGTAACTTGTCACTCCACCTTCAATGGAAGAGTCTGGCTCGGACATTTTAACATGGGAGTCTATGGGGACTGACTCACTGTTGCAGCCAGACTCTCGTGGTCATTAGAGGAACTGCAGCTTCTGGTTCTTCAGCGTTGATGCTGCATGTTTCTGGAGGTTGGTGCTTGGTGTGAATGTGAGCAGGTCAGACGTTTGACTGAGACTGTGGATGTTCAGGGGTTAAACTACAGACGTGTGAGGAGAGGCACGTAGCTGCACCTCCTCCCCCTCCCCTTCCTCCTCCTTCTCGTTTTTTTTTATGAATGAGATTTGAACCACACACACACACACACACACACACAGTGATGTCAGCAACAAGCCCATCCCCCACTGCTGCGGGAAAAACCTCACGATCAGAAAGAGAGAGAGGCATCCTCATGTTTCCCATATGTCTCTCTCCCCCTCTCTCTCTCAGGATGAGATGGGTGGGAGGAGGGGGGGTGACAAGTATCACCTCTCCTCCTTCCCCATCCCTCCCTCCTCCTCTTCACGAGCCTGAGGATGAGTAATCCATCAAGGGAGGGAGGGAGGGAGGGCGAGAGAGGTGTCGTAAGAGAAGGAGAGTGAGGGTGATGGAGGGAGGGAGGATAGCAGCATCAGCATCATCCTCATCATCATCATCATCATCAGTGAACGTGCAGAACGAGAGGATGAAAATTCAAAACCTTCCAGCTCCTGTTTTACTGCTGAGCTCAGTCACACCGGGAGATGGCTAATTCCTGGACCCTCACTGGCTGACATCGTAAGAACAGTTCATATTTCTGTGGAGGACGAAATGCTTCGGGATTATATTTCCACAATTACTGCAACTGGCTAATCGCTGGAGTGCGGAGCGTTAAAGAGAAAAACTACAGGAGAGGGATAAAGGATCATATTTCCGAACTCTTCAGTTGTATATGAGGTGTAACTGACTAATCCCTGTAGGAGCTGGACAAGAGGGAGGCGTCATGGCTTGTTTCACTGGATGGTACCAGGTTAATTCTTGGATAGGAGATGACTGACTCATCCATTGGATTGTTGGGACAGTCTTCTTCCTGAACAACTCTTTACATGTCCATTTTAAGTACAAATACATCCGTGCCACACCTCCACACGTGGTGTTGCAGAGGCTGGGATCTGGCTAATACCTGGAATCCTTGACCTGTAACAGCACCTCACTGCCCCATATACGGTACTCCAGTACCTGGACATTTTCTGTATCAAAGGTCTGTGTACAGCCTCCTCCTGGGACCAGGCTAATCTCTGGATCAGCGTGTCTGGCATGTTCTGCTTCTGCCTGCAGAGTTCCCTGCTGAAGCTCCAGGCGCTGGAGGTGGAGGGGGGCCCCTCACTGGGTCCGTCCCCAGAGGAGAGCCCCCCTGCCCTGGGCAGCAAGGAGCAGAAGAGCCCCTGTGGCCTCGCCGAGCTTGGAGGGAAGGAGGGGAAGACGCTGGCTCTGTGCCACAGCGCTGACGAGAACAGCCCACCAGGTACACCCACCTGTCTGTCTGTCTGCCTGCCTGTCTATTTGTCTGCCTGTCTGTCTATCTGCCTGTCTGTCTGCCTGTCTGCCTGTCTGCCTGTCTGTCTGGTGTAGAGGTGTGTTCACAAAAAAGAAACTTAGAGACATGACTGGAGGTGGACTGAAACATTTCACACTTATGGTGTTGCTTTATTGTTCGTGCACCAGTTTCTCTGGTCTGTACCTCCTGGTCTGTGGCTCCCAGTCTGTCGCTCCTGATCCGTACCTCCTGGTCTGTAGCTCCTGGTCTGTAGCTCCTGGCCTGTAGCTCCTGGCCTGTAGCTCCTGGCCTGTGGCTCCCAGTCTGTCGCTCCTGATCTGTACCTCCTGGTTTGTAGCTCCCGGTCTGTAGCTCCCGGTCTGTGGCTCCCGGTCTGTAGCTCCTGTAGCTCCTGGTATTCTTTTCTCACTGTAATTCCTCTTCATGATGTATTAACTAACTCTTAATGATAATTAATGGCATATTTTCACTTCATTTTGTCAACGCCTTCCTGCAAAATATATAAAAATATTAAGACATATGAAAATACTGTTTACGTCTAATATAAAATCCTCGTATCCTCTGACGTGCATTAAACTGTATGAACATGAAAGGTCCAGCTCTGCAGGTACATATTCATCTGTGTACCTGTGTTATTTCAGAAGTCTCAGTCTTTCTGGTGATTTTACCCAGCATGCCACCAGCCAAGCTGTGTGTGTGTGTGTGTGTGCGTGTGTGTGTGTGTGTGTGTGTGTGTGTGTGTGTGTGAGTGTGAGTGTGATGGCACGCCACCTTGCTGTTTCCCCGAGCGTGCTGCTATTTATAGACCAGCATACAGAAGTGAAGGACTGCAGCACGTGACGGTGTTACACTTCACTGCTTCACTTTACGTTTCCTCTCTCGGGTCGTGACTGTGCAACGTCTTTTCATTAAAGCTGCTTTGTACAGTATCATAGAATTTTCTATTATATGATCACTTAATATTTGATGACAATAGAGCTGAAATAGTAGAAGGTGGATCAATTTGTCGATCGACAAATATTGATCTATAACTGTTTGAGAGGTTCTTCAGGTAGTAGAATTTGACACTTAGGACATTCCTGAGGTGTTTTCGGTTGGTTCTCGTGGACAATGAGGATCACCGGCTTCTTTAGAAGGTTCTAGTGGGGATTGAAGAAATTCTGAAGGTGATTGAGGAGGTTGTAGGAGTCACTGGGGAGGTTCTACAGAAAGTTATCGAGGTTCTTTGGAAGGTTCTGATTGTCATTGAGGACTCTGTACAGGTCTTTTAAGTGGTGCTAGTGGATATTGGGGAGGTTCTCGAGGTCCTTTAGTTGGTTCTGTCAGTCATTGGTCAGTTTTATTGGCGCTTCAGATGATGTTTTTGGTCGTTTTAGTGGTCAATGCAGATCAGTGGGTTCTTCAGGTGGTTCTCGTGGTCTCTCAGTAAGTTCTACAGGTCATTGGCGAGGTTGTAGTTGACACCAGGGAGGTTCCAGAGAATGTTCTAGAGCTCTTTTGAAAGGTTCTAGTTGTCACTGAAGAGTTTATGGAGGTCTTCTAGGTGGTTCTAGTGGACATTGAGGTGGTTCTAGAGATCCCTAGAAAGTGATACCAACACGATTCCTTCAGACCACTGAGCCACCAGCTCTCAAACAACACAAGTGCACTAATTTGTGAAATTAGTTTTCATGGCAGGCTGCAGTGGAGAAGATGGTGTATTGAAAATAACTGGGTGTTAATGACATTCACCTACAGCTGTTTCACTGAAGACATTTCAGACTTCTAACAGAACCTTCTGTCTCTGCAGAGCTGCTGACGGTCCTGACCAGACCCCCCCAGTCCCCCAGACACCAGCCGTTAACCACCATCCGCCCTGGCCAGCAGCCCCTGACCCCTGATGGTGTTCTGTCCCCCAGCCCTCACCACTCCCCCTACTCCCCGCAGAGGAGCAGCCCTGGAGGTGAGGGGGGAGGAGGAGGAGGTGGGGGAGGAGAAGGAGGAGGTGGAGCTCTCCTCCAGCTGCTGGCGGGCGGTCCCAGCCCCCTCCCCTCCCCCCGATGCTCCAGCCTCAGCCACAGCCTGAGGTTCAACTCCGACCCCGACACTGCGCCTTCACCGCCCTGCAGCCAGCAGTACATACTGTGAGTCTCACCTGTACCTGTCTCTCTCCCTGTCTCATTCACCTGTCTGTCTTTCACCTCTCAGGCTGTTTCTTTACTTTTTAAATACGACTTGGGACCATTTGGTCTTTACTTGGAAACTGGCTTGAAACTTTGGTCTGGACTTGGAGTTGATAGTGTAACAGAACAGATTTGCGATAAGACTTGGACTTATTGATCGTGAATTGGTACCAGACTGAGGACTGGTGTTGATGTGAGGCTAAACTTTGACCTTGTTGGTGGCTGCCAAAATCAGAGCAGTCTCAGATAAATGATCATGATAATGGTAAAATATAATATTTCTCTATCATCATGGCAACAGTCTCAGGTTTTGTCGGCTGACTCAGGATCAGATTTTTCAGCAGATCAGAGTTTGAAGGGTTGAACCACTTCTGTAAACCTTCATTGTGGCCCCGCCCCCTTCAGCTCCATCTGGTTTTCTGGTTTGAATCACGTCCTTGGGTTTTAAAGTGAATCTCAATCTGAGGTTTTTTCTTCCTGCTCAGTGTGAAACTTCACTTTGTGCTCTTTGCTGACTGACTGATGAATTCTGGGTAGTATCTGAACTGACTTTCTGTCAAAGTGCAGCCTGTCCTACTGCAGCTCTGACCTCTATCTGTCTGCTGCATTAATAGGTCTTATATAATCCATCCTCCTTCTTCTTCTCCTCCATTTTCTGACCCACAGCCTGAAGCTCACGGTCCACATCTGTCTGTGACCTACTTCCTGGTCTTTGTCTCTCTCACTGTGGATCTACTTCCTGTCTCTACTTCTTCATCTCATCTCATCTTTATTTGTTCTCCGTTCTCTCTGTTCTTCACTCACTACAGCACCAAATGTGGATTCATCCGTCACTGAAAATAGTCCCCAACAAATGAACTGTTACCTGCTTTTGTTGTGTCTCTCTCTCTGTGTCCAGGTCTCGAGGTCGAGGGGACAGGACTGAGGGATCAGAGGACATGTGTGTCCCCTCCATCCCCTTCCTCACCAGACAGATTCAGACCCTGAAGAAGAAGGTCCGCAGGTTTGAGGATCAGTTCGAGCAGGAGATGAACTACAAGGTAGATCCAGTCCACAATCAAATGCAGGACCTGGTCCACAACAAGGACACGTCTCAATAACACTGTTGTCATGTCAACACATTATTTTTAATTGGCTTTTCTTCATTAATAGAGAAGCTAGTAGTACAGAATCAGTACTGTTGTTTTCATATTTCTTAGAAGAAGAAAGGAGAGATGTTTGAGTAGATGTGAGTCGCTGTGTTTCTACCTGCTCAGGTGTGTTTGTTTGTTTGTGTCTCTCAGCCATCACACAACGATAAATACTCCAACCCAGAGATGGTCCGAGTGATGAGTGAACTGGCGAAGGCTCGCAAACAGCTCAAAGGTAAAAACATGTTTCTGTGTGACGTCAGTGTTTCCTCATCAAACCATCGACTCCTCTAAAGCTCCAGATGATACAGTCAGAGACGTCCTGAGGAGCGCAGGCGTATGTACCTTGGAAATATAAATGATTATGTCATCGGGAATGATATAGAGGTATTTGACCAGGATATTATTTTTTATAAGATATAAGTTTTTATTCCTCTGCAGCAGCCATTTTGTTTTCTTGAGAACTCCTCCCTTCAAAGTTTGGCACAAACGTGAAAAGAAAACACTGTTTAGCCATTTCTCAAGACTTTGCAGCAATTATGACAAAATTTCACAGGAATGTTTAATATTTTATATGACTGTGGATGAACAGAGACTGTAACCTGGAACTAGTCTGAGTGGAGGAAGGATACTACCGTGAGGCGGTAATTCTGTTTTGTTTGTTTGTTTGTTTATTTGTCAGCTGTTTGATGTTTATTTTCTTTATGGCTGTGAAAAAAGGAGATTTGATTCTATGTACAAATGAAAACTCAATAAACACTAAAATAAAAAAAAAATGCATCAGAGGAACTTTAACTCCTAAATGACAGATTTGGATCCAGGAGCCAAAAACTTGAGAGATATTAAGATCAAACTTAGCAGCTACTTGACGACTGGATTAATTAGATTTTTCTTTTCTTTGTATTGTCGCAGGATTGACATATAAAGTGAAACACGTGTGTTCTGTATGTTTAGCTTGTTCCGTTGTTTTGCTTGTGTGTTGTGCAGAGCTGAGACTCAGACAGTCGGTGTTCGAGTCGAAGGAGCAGGACGGTGCAGCAAACACAGACGTCTGCAGGTAACAACCCCCCCACCCCCCCACCCGCAGTCACTCAGTGTGTCATGTCGTAGTCAGTGAGGTTGTCACAGGTGTGTGTCCTGCAGGTATGGCTCCAGGCAGCAGGGGGCGTCGGAGCACAGACCAACACTGGAGGAAACAGTGGACTCTCTGTTCAGACGACTGAGGGAGAAGAGACAAGCTCTGGGTCTCCCCGACAACATGAAGGTACGACACACAGCAGCTTCTCACCAAACTCTTCTGTTTGTCAAGTACGTTTTATCGAAAAAGAATCACATGATGAAGGAAAACACTGTCTACATTTTTATCAGTAAATAGAATACAAAGAATACAAGAAGTATGACATCCAGGTTTCGATGGAAAATAAAAAGAGGCGAAAAGTAGAAATGGACATGTTGTTTTAAGCTAACAGACGAGGAGCAGGTGGAGGGGTCAGTCGGGTCGGGAACCCCCTCCTCCTCCTCCTCCTGCCGTGACTCCTTCTTCTTTAGGATGAATCAAGTGAAATCATGAATGAACACATCCTCAACAAACTGTTCATTTTCTTTTTTGTTTTATTTAATAGTCAGTCTGTAGTAATTTAAACATAAATGTGTGTGTGTGTGTGTGTGTGTGTGTGTGTGTGTGTGTGTGTGTGTGTGTGTGTGTGCAGGAGATGACTCAGGCTCAGATGGTGTTGGAGAAGATCACTCTGCAGAAATGTCTGTTGTACTTAGAGAGTCTTCACGGCCGCCCGGTGAGTCCTCACATACTGCTCATTTGCAGTAACGTCCCGCCATCACACAAGGAAATTGTACTTTTGACTTTTTATTGTAAGGCTTGAGTGAATTTGTAGATTCATATTAATATTACAAAGTATAATCACCCAATAAATTACGATGTAATAATGTATATTAAAGTGAAGTCATTAAAATGAACAGCTGCACATTAAATCAATAAATATATGAATGCATCAGTAACCACAGTACAGTTTTATAATGTAAATATTAATTATTCTTAATAACATTATACACATTATACTGCATTATGAGTACTGTAAGTAGCCTATACTGATGTGTTGCTATGGTGACTGTTTTTCTCTCAGGGAACCAAACAGGAGAGGAACCTGGTGAAGCCTCTGTACGACAGATACAAGATGATCAAGCATTTACTGTGTGTCAGCCCCATCACCACGATAGTGAGACACACACAGACACACACACACAAACACACACACACACACACTCACTCTCCACTGTTCCATCATGATTATCACACTGTTAGCGTAATAACGTTAGCTAGTCTCCCGTCGTAACTGTTTCTGTCTTTCAGGAGGAAGAGGACGGATCTGATGAAGACTCGGTGAGCTCGAGGACAGTGGATGAACTTCCTGTCCCGCCTCCTCCTCACAGAGCGACCCGACCAGCAGCCGGCGAGGAGGACAGTGACCGGGACAGCGACCCGGCCTTCGTGTCCCCGTTGGACGAGGTGAAAGCTGTCCATCAACAAGCTGCTGTCACCACGGCCAACCTGCACGAAGCCTCCAGGTGTGTAGGAGACGATTATATATGACTTACTATAATATTACATTTTTATGCCTAACTATACTGTGACTTTTCATCCTTTAATTATTATAACATTGATGGGATGTTGTGTTGGTACAGTGGTTAAAGCTATTGCCTCCTCTAGAGAAGGTTGTCAGTTCAAATCCGAGGCATGGTGTTATTTAGTGTAGAATGTCAATATTCTGCCTCAGCATGCTTGGATGCTTTGTGGTTATTCCAGCCTCCTCCCGCAGTCCAAAGAGTTTTTATGCCTCACTATACTATGACGTTTTCATGCCTTACTATACTACGATGTTTTTATACCTTACTATACTATGATGTTTTTATGCCTTACTACTATAAGGTTTTTATGCCTTACTATACTCTTACTTTTTTGTAACATTTTATTCCTTACTTTGCTATGACTTTTTTCTGACTTTTTATGCCTTACAATACTAGGATGTTTTTCTCACTTTTTATGCCTCACGATACTATGACTTTTTTATGCCTTAATATACTATGAAGTTTTTCTGACATTTTATTCCTCACTATAACATAACGTTTTTATGCCTTACTATACTATCATGTTTTTCTGACTTTTTGTGCCTTAATATACTATGACTTTGTTCTGACTTTTAATGCCTTATTATACAATAACATTTTTGTACCTTACTATACTAGGACTATTTTATGCCTTACTATACTATGATGTTTTGATGCCTTACTATACTGTGACTTTTTCCTGACTTTTTATGCCTAACTATTCTATTACTTTTTTATTCCTTACTATACTGTGACTTTTTTCTGACTTTTTATGCCTGACTATTCTATTACTTTTTTATTCCTTACTATACTGTAACGTTTTTCTGACTTTTTATGCTGTACTATACTATGACTCTTTTGTGCCTTACTATACTATGACGTTTTTATACCTTACTATACTATGACTTTTTTCTGACTTTTTAAGCCTTACTATACTATGACGTTTTTCTGACTTTTTATATCTTACTATACTATGATGTTTTTATGCCTTACTATACTATGACTTTTTTATGCCTCACTATACTATGACTTTTTTCTGACTTTTTATTCCTCACTATAACGTGACGTTTTTATGCCTTACTATATTATGACTTTGTGTTGACTTTTAATGCCTGACTTTTCTAGTACTTTTTTATTCCTTACTATACTGTGACTTTTTTCTGACTTTTTATGCCTTACTATACTATGACTTTTTTCTGACTTTTAATAACTTAGAATACTATGATGTTTTTCTCACTTTTTATGCCTTACTATACTATGACGTTTTTATGCCTTACTATACTATGACATTTTTGTGCCTTACTATACTATGACTTTTTTCTGACTTTTTATGCCTTGCTATACTATGAATTTTTAATGCATTACTATACTGTGACGTTTTTATGCCTCACTGTACTATGATGTTTTCATGCCTTACTATGCTATGACATTTTTGTGCCTTACTATACTATGACTTTTTTTCTGACATTTTTATGCCTTGCTATACTATGACTTTTTTCTGATTTTTTATGCCTCACTCTACTATAAGATTTTCATGCCTAACTATACTATGACTTTTTCCTAAATTTTTATTCCTTACTATACTATGGCGTTTTTATTCCTTACTATACTATGACTTTTTTCTGACTTTTTATGCCTGACTGTTCTATTACTTTTTTATTCCTTACTATACTGTCACGTTTTTCTGACTTTTTATGCTGTACTATACTATGACTCTTTTGTGCCTTACTATACTATGACGTTTTTATGCCTTACTATACTATGACATTTTTGTGCCTTACTATACTATGACTTTTTTCAGGATTATTTTATACCTTACTATCCTATGGTGTTTTTATGCCTCACTATACTATTATGTTTTCATGCCTCACTATACTATGACTTTTTTGTGACTTTTGATATCTTTCTATACTATGACGTTTTTATATCTTACTGTACTATGACTTTTTCTCACTTTTTATGCCTTACTATAACATGACGTTTTTTTGCCTTACTATACTATGAATTTTTAATGCATTACTATACCGTGACGTTTTTATGCCTAACTATACTATGATGTTTTCATGCCTTACTATACTATGACTTTTTTCTGACTTTTTATGCCTTATTATACTAAGACATTTTATGCCTCACTATACTATGATGTTTTCATGCCTTACTATACTATGACTTTTTTCTGACTTTTTATGCCTTTTTGTACTAAGACATTTTATGCCTTACTATACTATGATGTTTTTATGCCTTACTATACTAGGATTATTTTATACCTTACTATCCTATGGTGTTTTTATGCCTCACTATACTATTATGTTTTCATGCCTCACTATACTATGACTTTTTTCTGACATTTTATACCTTACTTTCCTATGATGTTTTTATGCCTTACTATACTATGACTTTTGTCTGACTTTTTATGCCTCACTATACTGTGACATTTTTGTGCCTAACTATACTATGACGTTTTTATACCTCATTATACTATGACTTTTTTCTGACTTTTAATGCCTTACTATATTATGACGTCAATCTGACTTTTTATGCCTTACTATACTATGATGTTTTGATTCGTTCATATACTATGACTTTTTTCTGACGTTTTATGCCTCACTATACTATTACGTTTTTATGCCTTATTATACTATGATGATTTTATGCCTTATTTTACTATGATGTTTTATTACTTTTTATGACTTACTGTACTATGACTTTTTTATGCCTTACTATACCATGACGTTTTTATGCCTTATTGTACTATGACATTTTATTGCTTTCTATGCCTTACTATACTATGATGTTTTTATGTCTCACTATACTATGACCTTTTTATTCCTTACTATACTATGACTTTTTTCTCGTTNCCTTACTATACTATGATGTTTTTATACCTTATAATACTATGACTTTTTATGCCTTACTATACTATGACTTTTTTCTGACTTTTAATGCCTTACTATACTATGACGTTTTATTATTTTTTATGCCTTACTGTACTATGACTTTTTTATGCCTTACTATACCATGACGTTTTTATGCCTTACTATACTATGATGTTTTTGTGCCTTACTATACTATGATTTTTTTTAATCCTTACTATACTATGATGTTTTTATACCTTATAATACTATGACTTTTTATGCCTTACTATACTATGACTTTTTTCTGACTTTTAATGCCTTACTATA